ATCTTATATCTTTTGTTTTGCAACGATATTAATGCGAATTCGTATTGGAAAATAGAATTTGAGTAACGATTAGGTTTCAGTCTGGAAAGTCAACCTAATGCTTTTGCAAAATAATAGTACGGTTGATATTGCCTATGAATGGGGATATCCCGTAACAACGTGTTTCTTGTGTCAGAACTATTGCTTGATAATTTTTCTGTGCAACTAAGGAATTAGTGCGTAGGAAAAGTATCAAAGGGTTTTTCATTAAGGAATTAAGAAAAACTGATTTTGAAATTTGACTTATTAAGGTTGGAAACGAATATCTCACAAATGACTCTTGAAAGGTCTTTACTAGCAATTTATCCACTTCCCTAGCATCGTTCTTATTTTTACTCTAAACTGTTGTTATTTTACTTGTTCTTATAATCTATTACCAAACAACCCCAAGGTATTTTTGTTCCTTTGAATACTAAAACCATTGTTGATTACTACGCAGTCCTCGAAATCGATACTCGAGACTTTTCCCTTATTACTACATCGATAAAAATAGTACACTTGCTATTTTACCGATCAGTTATGAATATCAAGTTTCTAAACAATTATTCAAATTCAAATAACAAGAAAATAAGTCATTTTTCTATTTGGGTTTTAGGCATTGGTGATAATTCGATTAGAGATTGCAATGACATGAATATCACGCTTGATATCCCGCATGACTTGCTTATTCGAACTTTAATCAATTCTTTTACATTTATTGTTAATAGCATATATTATTAGCCTGTGAATTCTACCTGGTGAAAAGTCAACAAAAAATTGTAATAGCTATGTTGAAAATGCTAAGTGTTAAGAACTTTAACCAAAAGCTTTGACATATTAACTATGTCGACTAAGTTGTTCGACTAACTTGTCAAATGAGTCAATGCAAGAATAGTTTGAAGGAGTCTTAAGAACAAATCCACAAGATTAAGATCACTACCTTTTCAAAACATGTTCAAAATTTCAAGAGGTTTTACAAGTCACACCTTCGACTAGTGTTGAAGTTGGAAAATCTACTAGGTGTTGGAGACTTAGGATATTCTTAAGTCTAAAAACTATGTGATATGAAGATGTCTTAGAATTATGAGAGTTGATCAAAGACTCTCGACTAAGGAAGTTAAGAGGGTCAGAGCGGTTATCAACAGAGTTATTAGCGTAGTGGTTGGTTTTCAATAGTTTTATCTTGGAAGACGCGTGGAAGCAAGTTAGAACAAAGTTGCCTAAGTAGTGGGAAACGTGTTAGATCCTTAGGATCCATCAGTTATCGACAATTACTATTTTATTAGTATATAATTCAATCTTAGTGTATGAGATAAAGGTCGCAAAATTCACATTAATTCTCTAAAGGATTGAAGTATCCAACTTATCGAGCCAAATAGTTTGTGAGAAATGTGAGTATGTATCCATGTGAGATATTGGATGGAACTCTAGTTAGCATGCCGTCGAAGTTTTCTCACATGCTATTGCCGAAGGCCTACATGTTGTAGTCGAATTTTGTTATAGTATGTAGTTTTCAAATTGGGCCTTGTGTTAAGGATCCAATTCCTTAAGTTAGTTTGTACCCTAAGTTAGCTTGTAATGGATAATTGTTAAAAAACTCATTAGTTTAGTATGTTAGGTTTTATTATAATAACATACTAGTCTCTCATCTTATGTTTGGTGTGACAAAACCTAATAAGGGTGAGAAGATTATTTGTTATTCTTGACTACTTGTAATCTGTTTTATAGAGAAAGTAAAAAATAGCAGTTATAATCAAATCCTTGTTGTTCTCCTTGTTTTTTCTTAACCCTAACCCTTGTGTGTTTCTTGATCATAAAGAAACCGAGTATATTTTATTTTAAGGCATCCTAATTCACAACAAATTGGTGCGGTGAGCATGGAAAAGTCCAAGTGCTAAAGGTTCCGACAGATTATAATGTTGCTGATATGATCACTAAGACGTTGCCCAGTTGCAAGTTTTTCCACTGTATGCAGTTGATAAAGCTGCATGAAGAAAGCTAGTTTGTTTCTTGATGGTAGATTTAGATCCAAGGTAGAGGTTTGTGAGATATTCGATCGAACTCTAGTTACCATGTCGTCGAAGTTTGCTCACATGTGGTAGTCGAATTGTGTTCTAGTATGTAGTTGTTGAATTGAGCCTTGTGTTAAGGATCCAATTGTTTAAGATAGCTTGTACCCTAAGTTAGCTTGTAATGGGTAATTGTTAAAAAGCCTACTAGTTTAGTATGTTAGATTTTATTATAAATAACATACTAGTCTCTCATTTTATGTATTGGTGTGACAAAACCTAATAAGGGTGAGAGGGTTATTTGTTATTCTTGAGTACTTGTAATATGTTTTATAGAGAAAGTAAAGAATAACAATTATAACCAATTCTTGTTGTTTTCCCTATTTTTCCTTAACTCTAACCCTTGTGTTTTTCTTGATCATAAAGAAACCGGGTATATTTTGTTTTAAGACATCCTAATTCACAACAATCCATTCTTTTAACTTTTTGCAAATCTTGTATTCAAAGCATTTACGATTAATGTCATTTACTTTGCTCATTTCTTATTATCTTTATCCAAAGTTTATTATTTGCATCCAGTTGCTTATAATTTAAACATTTAAACCCAGATAACCCACACTTTCTGTTGTATATTTTCTTTGCACAAATTGTCTTTGAGACTTTTTAAGTTAATCTCTTAAGTTAACTAAACTCGTGAATGTTTACCAAATTTACGAGTAAACATATCTCCAAATATTTTAGATGATATTCGTGATATATCTTTGTTTCAAAATATGACTATATCAATTCCAAAGAATTCCATTATTGATATGATTAATGATTATATATTGAACTTTTTTCTAAAGAAGAACAAATACCAGAGAAAAAAAACTCTAGCAAGTAAAAAATGAGTCATACGATCCAGAGTCACATTTATATATGATTGATAATTAAAACCTCCATCAATAAACACAATATTATATGGTGTGTGAGGGGCCGTTGAATGAATTCTAATGATTGAGATGATCACAATGCTCGGTGTGGTGCCTTATACAGAGAGTACACTTGTTCGTTAACGAAAATTTGGATCGAGGCTTCACATTAAGTCAGTCTTATTAGACCGATCCAGACTAATTTCTATTGAGGCTAGCAACAATCACACATGGATTGTGTTATGCTATAGTAAAAGATAGAACCATCGAGAAGCGGGTAAATCTTTAAGTCCTTTAGAGTGTGTTTGGATGATGCATTTTAATGAGAAAAAATAATTTTTTTGAGGGAATTTAAAATGATTTGACCAAAATCTATTGTTTGGGTAAAAGTATTGAGAATTCTTAAAATGATGTAAATTTATGAAATATTTTATTAATGTTAAATTTAAAGACTTTCAAATGACATCAAAAAGTGAATAATTTGAAATTACTCATTCACTATATATAATACAAATGTCATATTATTTATTATTAATTTTTTAAAATTTTTAATTTCGTCCTCATATTTTATAAAGATTTCAAATTCATCCCTAAAATTAAAAAAAAATACAAATAAGTCTCTTATAATTTTTCAAAATTTACAAACGAGTCCCTTCAAAATTTACAAATTAGTCCCTATTTTTTCATATTTTAAATTTGGCCTAAAAATTTATAAAAATAACCCCAAATATTTAACAACAAACTATTTTAATTGTCCATCCAAACAAAAAATTTAAAAATAAATAAATTTCAATTAAATCATTTAAATTACTTAAAATTTTGAATTTCTTAAAACTTCTTAATTATTTCTTCCAAATCCACTCAGTATGTGAATTGTAGTCCTTGTAACATGTTAGTGTGAGTGACTGAGCTACCTGTAGGCCTATGTTCCCACTAGGATTGAAAATCTATTCTGACATACACATACCAGATAGTATTGATAACAATGATAATGTATAATTGCATTAGATAGTTATTTTATTTTAAGATATACTACAAAATAATCTATTAAATAATAAATAAATAAAATTTTTAATGTGCTAGTTATTTTTATATTATTTTTATAAAAGTATATTTTGGGAATTAAATAAAAATTAATGATGTATGAATTATCAATTTATTTGTGAAAACAAAATATGTTATATACTTATAAATAAAAAATAAAAAAATTGATATCTTATAATTTATAGTTGAAGATGAATGACTGATAATTGATAAATTAATTAAAGTATTTGATAAAAATTAATTTGATAAAATTAACAAGCAATTAGTTGATAAGTATAAAATAGTCAACTAGCTTATAAACATAAAATGACAAAATTATTTGATATTTTTTGCATTTAATATATAATTGTCTTATTTTAAATTTAAGTGAATTATAAAGGATAAAACTGAATTTTAATTAAAATAATAAAAATAAAAAAATTATAAATTATAAATTATAAACTATAAGCTAAATATCTATTTAAAATAACATATAAAAAATAAATTATATATTTATAAAATAAACTATAACCTCATAATAATAAAAAGACAATTATCAAAAAAATATTTTCTTTCCGTCATATAAATATATAAATTATAGACTTGAAAATATATCATGTCAAATATAATCTAATAATTTTAAAATATTAAAAGTTATAAAATCTCTGTCTCTAAGATAAATTTTGTTCCCACAGTTCAGTTTCCCATTTTATATTTTTAATAGAAAAGAAGGACTAAGTTGCAATTAAATAAAAAATAATATTAATTTGTGTCTTTGGGGCAGATGTTAAAGAAACCACTTTTAGTAAAATGAATGATCACCTCTATAATTTATTTGGAGAAAGACAGAGAGACTTTTGAAAGTGAAGTTGACTATAGGCCGTTATCATTTTCTAGTTTCGAAAAGTTAGTGGTAGTTACCATATCCACTTAACTATTTTTAATTCATTCAATTCCACCAATCAACTCACTATTACTTCTTCACTCATTTCAGATTCAGACTCAGACTAATACTCACACACAACACACTCTCTCTAACATGGATGGTCTCATCAAGGGCTTGATCGACGTAGCTCTCGGCGGCAACGACGATCGCGATCAAGACAACGACGACGATCGCCAATCACGAGACGAACGATCCAGATCTTCATGGGCGGAGGTCGTTTCCGGAGATCAGGATTCCGATCACCGTCCTCACACTCAGGTTGGTTAATTCGCAATTCCGATCCGTTATCGATCTAGTTTTACTACTACAACTACGTCATTATGATTTGAATTCATCGTTTTTTCAGGCGAAGCAGGAGGAGTGGAAATCCGAAGGTTCTAGAATCTCCAATAGACCGAACAACTACAAGGTTCTTTTCTCTCACATTTTCGATTCATTCATATCTATTTTCATTCTCAATTCAATCAAAATATTTAATCTTTATCATTAATTATTATTATTACTACAGAAGGAGGAAGTAGAATCATGGCAAAACGATAGTAACCGTCAAAGGCCTAATAAGGTGAATTATTATTCAATTTTCAATTGAGCCACTGTCACTAAGGTTTTAAATAATAGTCGCTGCGCTCGCGTAAAGACTTTTGCGATTTCAGTCCGTATAGGTGTTGCGACATTTCAGTCAGTATAGGTGTTGCGATGCTGATTGTTGTCGTTGCGGAATGAATTGACGACAATTTGTTCTTTATTAGAAAAACAATGAATGATGTATCGGCATCGGCACCTTCTGATCTGATACTGTTTTGTTGCGGCCGTTAACCGATCGTTTTTTAAAACCTTGACTGTCACTGTGAGATTGGTTCCCAGGATTAGTCTGTACTTAGGTCGAATACCGAGTTTTCAAACAAATAAGTAAATGTATTGTTGAAACGCTGTTTATTACTGCATTATTCTTCAGGAACAGGAGTGGGAATCGGAAACATTCAATTCTTCCAACCGACCGAACAAGGTTCTTAATTTTAGTTTAACAGATAGCAAATTTTACAGCTTTAAATTTCTTTTAGGCTGCATCTCTGTTTTGTTTTCAAGTTTTTGAATTATGTATTCAAGAGATTACCACTTAGTGTGTGTTCGGGTGTTTGATTAACTTTAACAAATGTTACTTTGAATTATATTTTGTAAAACTTTTGTCCATATTGTATTTAAAGGGATTTAATCCATGTTTGGATGTATCTACTCTAAAAACAATCTAAAACTTAATGTTAAACTTTTAGCTTTGGCAAAAACTACTTTTTATCACTTTTAGTTTAATAAAAAATTGGAAATAAAATCAGATTTTGTTCGATCATGGCGACCCAATTGCTCTACCATCATAGTAACAGATCTATCATAATGAAACTTTACAGTTTGTTGTATGTTGTTAATTGGAATTGTTGTGGCGTTTATATAGAGTTAGGATCCTATCCATTTATGGTTGGCTGGTTCATGCTCTCATTTTGACACTTGGGCCGTTTCAAATTTCTCTCTAATGCATAATTTATAAGATTGTCTGTGGAGAGAATCTTATGAAGAAATAAATATTTATATACAAGATAAATGTTCCACTGAACTGGGTATTTGAAAATTAGGTTTCACTAGTGCACGACAATGTTATCAAATATGCATTGACCAATCTATTTTTCATCTTTTAATGAGAAGAAGTATGTAATGTGTAGATTTTCTATTGAAAATTAACTATTTTGGTGAAATTCAATTTTTAATTTTGCAGTCAGATGAAGATAAAAATGATGGATGGCAGACTGTGGGCAAACCTTCAAGACAGAGACACAAGGTTTGTATATATATTGAGTGTTGTGTGTAAATGTAAACAGTTTTATATTATGTTAATACTGCTGTTACAAGTGTATGTTGTGCAAAATTTACTTATGTTTGCTTCATTGTGGAATGTGTTCTGTAATCAGTTCTCATCTTTTTATGCTGCATCACATTCTGAATCTGAGTGATGGATTTTACCAACTTGATGTAGGTTCCAAAGGATAACTGGAACAGCTATAAACTTCCTTCTGATGAGCAACAATACTCCAATGAAGTTGAGGTTGGTGCCAGAGTAGAGCCCTCAGAAGATGAACTCGTTGATCTATCAAGAGCTTGTGAAAAACTCTGGGAACTGGATTTAAATCGTTTGGTACCTGGCAAAGACTATGAAATTGACTGCGGTGATGGGAAAAAAGTTTACCAAAAGGATGATATGGCGCAGGGGAGCTTGTTTACATGGGTTAGTGATGATGTGTTCCGAAAGCCTACTTATGCTCGATTTCTTTCACTGTTAGATAATTACAATCCACATCAAGGATCTAAGGAGGTTGTCACATCTGAAGAGAAACAAGAGCAAGCTTCTTTCATAGAAGAAATTAGTAGAACAGCACCGATAAAGTATCTTCACAAGTTTCTTGCATCCAAAGGAATCACATCAGGGAGTTCCCAAGATTTCAAAAGACTGTTGACCAGTTTGTGGTTTGATCTTTATAGCCGATGTGGAACTTCTGGTTCCTCTTCCGCTTTTGAGCATGTTTTTGTTGGAGAAATCAAACAAAGCAGTGAAGTTTCTGGATTTCATAACTGGCTGCAGGTATGATCTCTTATTTTTCTGTATTCCAATATCTATGAGCTATTCAAACTCATACCAAAAATATAGATGTGTTAACTGGGGAGTCGGTGTTCTTTTCAACCATGCTCCATCAGACATCAGTACCATTTTGCATTGGATTGGATCTATTTGTACCGCCTATTGGATTAGTATCCACAGGAACCTACCTCTCTGTAGCATAGGATCGAAGTTGATACTTGTGATGATAAATTTTTAACTCATCTATTGATATATATTGGCAGTTTTACCATGAAGAAGCAAATGGAAGAGTTGATTATCAAGGCTATATTTTTCCCCGTCGACGGGGTGAAACTGTGAGTGATCATTACATTTTTGTGTACTAAATAAATATAAGAAAGTAATATACTTCAGTACGAGATAAACATCAGATCAAGTTTAAAGTATTTCAACAACAAATTTATTTTCCTATAACATCTAGAGCCTTTGAAAATTTTCAATCATAAACCTATTTCAATACAGGTAACTCTTTTTGGTAGTTCTTGTATGTTTTTTGCTGGTAAGCATTTGTTATATATTTTGAGCTGTACTGTAGCCACATTATTTTTAATGTTGCTTGCTATATAACTTGCAGCCTGACTCTGAAACTCAGCTTCTGACAATTCAATTTGAATGGAATGGTGTTCTAAAATCTGTATCAAGTACTTTTGTTGGAGTGAGCCCTGAATTTGAAATCGCTTTGTATACCCTGTGTTTCTTCGCTGGTCAGGAAGATAACCACATTCAGCTTGGTCCATATGCTGTTAACATCAAGTGCTATCATTTAGGCAATCAAATTGGATCTGTTTTCCCCATTGCAGATTCATGAATGTTCAGTCGCAAGCAATGATAGTAGTGTTTCCCCGTTGAAATCATATCTTATGCATATTTGGTGTACCTTGTAGTCATGGTAAAACAGTATTGAGGGGAGTATACATCTGATACCTTTTTATTTTTTATCTTCGATAGTTTGCGACTTTTTGGTAATTCATAACCACAACTCATTTATGTTATTGTGTATTATTGTTAAATATCTTTGAGTTTGCTGGCTTCAGCAATCTTAGTGCAAAGATAAATATATACAGCTATTTGAAAAGTGTTCTATTTCTCAAATGTCGAGTTCATCATGCACATAGTTGCTAAATTCATTCATATTAGTTTAGTTGGTATAATGTAAGGCTTTGAATTTGTGTTTTATGGTTCAAATTGAAGCCATATCATAATTCTGTTGCTAATAAAATCGTCTAGATATAAAGCTAAATAAGTCATTGTCTTGTGCGATCTTAAGCATGAGTATGTGGTTTCAAGGTGTTTTTTATTCAAAAATGGGTTGCAAGTATCGTTAATAAAAATGGGTGCAAAAGTAAAATGTGCAAAAAAATAAAAATAATAGAGACAAAATTGTACATGAGTAGAAATTAAATGGTTGGAGGAGTAGGTGAACTTGAATTTAAAGAAAGCTTTTAAAATGTCTTGAAACAAACTACATAACGTTAAAAAAAATTGAGTATTGGACCACTAATTCTTTCCTTAACAAGGGCCTCACTTCCTTTTACCATTATCAATGATTATCAATGAATACTGATTTGCTGATTATGACTAATAAAAACACTCAAACAATGCTAATCACGTAAGTCAATCAGAAATTTATAACTCTAAATATGGCCAAAATAAGACAGATGAACCAACATATAAGAAAATACATTTTCAACTAAAATAATTTGATTCTTTTTTATTCGATTATTGTAGGTTTCCTTCAACATATTTATTTTATTTGAAACATTCTTTTTGTAAATTTCCTTTCACATGCTAAGCATATAGACACGATCTCATCATAAATTGCAAAGAAACTTCAAAGTTCTAACATGAAATGCATATTACAAATTAGTTCCTAATTCCCTCATTTAGTTGAATCCAACATACTATAAAAGACAGACATATCTATATCTTAAGAGCTTAAAGCTATTTTCTATTAAGGATTAGACATTAAAATACAACCTTAATTCAATTGTCTTATTTTTATCAAATATTTAATTAAATAGTTATACTTTAATATTAAGTGTATTAGATATAAAGATGTTGGATTAGATGTGCATACAAACTAGAGGAGAAATGATTATAAATGACAATATTAAAGATAGTTTTGAGAGTTAAAAATATATTAAAAAATAGATTTGAGTGGTTTTGACATATACCGGAAGATTTGTAGAATTTGTTGTAAAGAAAGTAGATTAGACAAAGATGAATCAAATCACTAAGAGTGTGTTTGGTTCAAATGAAGAAGTGAGGAGTTGAGAGATTTTAATGGAGAAAATGGAAGGGAGATGGGAGGTGAAAGATTTTTCTTTTATTATATATATATATATATATATATATATATATATATATATATATATATATATATATATATATATATATATATATATATATATATATATATATATATATGTTTGGTTTAAAGGAAGGGAGGAGAGAGAAAATGAGAAATTTTAGTTAAAAAATATGTTTGGTTCACGGGAAGGAAAAGAACAATTTTATTAATTATTTATATTTTTATCCTTATAATTTTATATAACTAATATGATATTTAAAGATGAAAAATTCATAAATAATATTTTGACAGTAATATATATAATATTGAGTGATTAAAAAAGTCATAACATACAACATAACTTTAAGAAAATTGAGTACATTTAATTCGTATTATAACTCTCCAATACAAATCAAACTATGTGCTTATAACAACTTTTGAATACATAAAATCATATATGATTAAATATTATATATATATAACAAAGATTAAAAAAATACAAAAAAGTTATATTAAAAAAATGACTATAATTTATATTAAATAGAAAAATAAAATTTTTTTGAAAGTGAATAATAATTATAATAAGATGATGGAAATAATAAAGAAAAATTACACACAAAAAAAATAAAATTTTTTTTGACATATTAAAATAAAATTGAAGATGTGTTAGTAAATATAATAATTTATTAAAGAATCAGGGTCTTTTGACCTCTGGTGTAAGTCTTTCCAAATTTCTTAATAATAAAAGCTCTTATTAACCATTACACAATATATATATATATATATATATATATATATATATATATATATATATATATATATATATATATATATATATATATATATATATATATATATATATATATATATATATATATATATATATATATATATATATATATATATATATATATATATATATATATATATATATATATATATATATATATATATATATATATATATATATATATATATATATATATTAAACACATTATACACACTCTTTTCTCATTTTAAAGATGACTAAGACATAAGGTGTTTTTAATAAAGTATGTCTTAAAATTTTAAGTGATGAAGAGAAAAAAATATATATTTCGAGATTGCAAGAAGCCAAATGTTATAGTTCCTAATATATTAGCCACATTCCACTCAATCTCTTTTGTCATTTTAAAGATGACCTTGGACATAAGGTGTCTATAGTATGCCTTAAAATCTAAAGTGATGAACCATAAAAATATATATTTCGATATTGCAGAAGCTAAATGCTATAATTCCTAATATATTAGCCACGTTACACTTAATCTCTTTTCACATTTTGAATATGACCTAGAACATAAGGTGTCTATAGTTAAGTATTTCTTAAAACCTTAAGTGATGGAGAGAACAAAAGTGTTTCGAGATTGTAGAAATTAAAAAGTTGTAAAAGCAGTCAAAAGGTCGAAAAAAGGCATTTGAACTCTAAGTAGGCGGCCTAGGAGACATGGTTGGTGGCGGTGGGAAGCAGTTGTTATAAATTGGAAGTTTGACTAGGTGGTGGTTCGGGTCGGCCTGCAATGGACGACTGGTTTTCTGCCATCCTTTTTGATTTTCTTGGTTTTTGTGCTTTGGGCTTCATCGTTTTGATTTGTGGATATGTTCTTTAATGAGTTGTGTTTTGGGAATGTTATGAATCTGCTAGGCTTTAGTAGTTATAAATACATATCTATCTCATTTCTTTTTATCATTATGTTTAGAACTTTACAATTGGAGATATAGATAAGAGGTGGCAATCCTAGTAAGGGAAAACTTAGAGAGGTAAAGGTTTTGAGAAACTTTTGGGGGCCTCTAAAGGGATTGAGAAATAATTTTAAACACCTTTTCCTTATGTGATTCATATATAGAGTTAGAGAGATTGAGAAACATTTGGGTAGAAAATTGGATTTTTTTCTTTGAAACTCGGGTGACTATTTTCTTGTAACTCATTTGTAATCTCTTGTAACATCTTTTGAAAGTATAGTAAATTAACGAGCTTCTCTCTCTGCCAGAGTAGACCGTTTGATCGAATTGGATAAATGATCCGTTGTCACATACGAGTCAAAAAATGAGTTAATAAAATGTAGTATAAGGAAGCGATACTCAAGTCGTATCGCAAGGACTCTTTGTTAAATTAACCAACTGAATGAAAAGAAGAGGGTTTAGATTTTCGATTAAGTTTATGATTAAAAGAAATGAATATGATTAACAAGTTAATCTACCAGTTCAGTTTTCTACTTATCATTATTTACTACTTTACAAATTTCCTAAGCGGATTTGATTCCTTTTCGATTACAATATCGATCAAACAAGCGCAATTGATACTATAAGAATTATGTTCTATTTACCGAATTAAGAAAATAGTTACAGATAAAGCAAATAAACGAAAAAGCTAAGTTTAATCGCGATTAAATTGGGAACGTGAATCAATCAAAATTAATTAACCATACTATATGAGTTACGAATCAAGGAAACAAAAAATCAGGGAACATAATTGAAAGGAAAAGAAATTGACTTGAAAAATAAATAACCTCAAAGTTTTACAGAATCCTGAAACAGTACAACAACCGGAGGTTTAGCCTTCCGTGAAATTTGTGCGTCTAATTGTTATTTCCTGAAAAGAAAACAAAGTGAATCAAATAAGCTACGATTTTAGTTTAAGTATTACAAGGGAATTCGGGCTCTAATGGAAACCGATAAAAAAAAACATAAAAATCGGCCTAAAACTAATTATTTTGTAAGTCCGAAACTAAAACGAGTTATTTGACCCTTTTGCACTTTGAATTAGCTTCTGACTTTAACACAAAAGTTGTAGCTTATTCCCTCAGCTTTCAAACACATATTATAATGCATCAAACCGCGTTCTATAGCTCAAGTTATGACCTTCACAATGAGAAAGTGTCAAATTACCGCTTATTCAAAAAATAATTAACCGAATTAAAATATAAGATGAAATAAGCTACACTTAAACACTAAAAGCAATAAAATAAAATCAACAAGTTGTAAAAATCCCTTAGAAAAAAGTTAAATGTGGTGTATTAAAATACACTTATTAAATTTCCCCACACTTAAACATTTGTATTCCGAGCAAAATTCTAAAGTCAAAATTCAAAACTGAGTAAAAACAAGAAAAAGAAGAAAAAAACGGAGCATGCAATTTCAAAGAATTTCAGGATCACATAAGAGGTAAGTGAAATACTCATTATAAGCTTCAAGTGATATGATGTTAGTGAGCACCTTTTTGTGATAGTCAAAACAAGTAAGAAGGCGGTTTACTAAAGAGTATATTATAAGCAGCAAGATCCTCACGGAATAAAATTCTCTCAACTTCAAGTGTTTAGGTTAATTGTTTACACTCAAAGCACATCATGAAAATTAGTACTTTCGTGAGCTTGAAAAGACTCTAACATTTACACTTGAATTACATGCACACAAATATCAAAAGGAATTTATTTAGGTTGTAATGGGGCCAAGGTAAGGATAAGAAAAATCATAAGGGGTAT